GGGACTGCATCGCCCCTGCTCCCGGGAGGTCTCTGGGCGGCCACGGCGCCTCTCTGGGGATCCCCGCTGTTTCCCAGGAGGCCCCTAAGACGGTCCAAGAAGGCCGCCTGGGGTCGCCGACCGATCGCTCGAAGGCACCCAGGATGGCCACAGGATGGCCCTAAGAGATTTCTAAGACGCTCTAAGAGGCCTCCAGGAGGCCTCCCAAGAGGGCCCCCTGGAGGCACACATCAAGTGTCCTTAGGTTGTTGAAAGGTTGTGGCGCCTTTTCGGGTTTCCGACGCTCCGAGAAGGCCCACGAGGCCCCCAAGACCACCTCGAAACAGCCTAAGAGAGGGCCCAAAGACTGCCTAAGAACGCCACAAGACGGCCCAGGAGGCGCCCAAGACGGCCCAAGAGGGCCCCAATAGGCCCCAAAAGGCCCCCAAGAGGCCCCAACAGGCCCCCAAGAGGCCCAACATATGCCCCAAAGAGGCACCCAAACGGCCCCCGAGAGGCCTCAAAACTGCCTCCAAGAGGCCCCCGAAAGGCCTTCCACGAAATCCCGACGATCATCCAACGCTCCAGAGCTAGAGCAACTAGATTGCAAATCCTGCTCACGCCCGCCCTTCGTTCCAGCGACAAGCGTCGAAATGCATGTTCCATATCGTGCAATACTTTCGTTGGGCATGATGCTGGTGCCACCAGGCGTGGTGGATCGACCTTTGTCAGCTACCTTGTTGTGCTCGCGGTGCAGGTGCAAACAACAACTGTTGCACGGAGAAGATGGACCGCACCTGCCGCAAACAACCCGAACGGTTCCGCAAAAGAAGGTGAATCCGTGGGACTACCTGCTTCTGCCGAGCCTTCTCCAGCCCTGCTATGCCAGACCCATCATACCTCCCCTCCTCACTCCTGAATCCTCCCTCCCTCCCCGCTCCCCGCCTCGCACACCGCCTCCCTTTTTCCTCCCTCCCTCCCTCAACAATTACTCAATATGAATACTACTCTCCATCTTCCCCTGATGACGGCTTGAAAATGTTAGCCCCCCCGCGTACTGTTTCTGTTGCACACAGGATTCCCCGGAGTTGGGTTTTCGCCTGCATTTGTTTCCAAAATGCTGCTCTCGCTGGGGCGCCAGCCTCATTTTCGGGCCCCGCTCGTTCCGAATCGTGCTCCCGCTGCAGCGCTGGCCTCATTCCCCCTCCCTCCCTCCCTCCTTCCCGTCGCCTCCCTCCCTTCCACATGTACATGGTGCTGGCTGCCCGAACCCCAAAGCGGGTCCTCGCTCCCCAGCGGCAGCGTGTCCGTGCCCCACTCGTCCTCGCTGCGCGTCTCGCCGAGCCTCTGCGCGGCGGCCATCGCCAGCCGCGCCGGGGATCGGTGCGCGTCGCCGCTGCCCCATCAATACTTGTTTTTGCTTGGCTTCTCTCTCTCTCTCTCTTTCTCTCTCTCCCTCTCTCTTTCAGGGGGGGGGGGGGCAGGAGAGAGGGAGGGAGGCAGGGAACGAAGGATCACGAGGGCGAGATGGAGAGGAGGGTGAGTGCGGAGGCTGAATAATGAGGGCGGAGCAACGAGAGTAGGATGGCGAAGATGACGATCGCTTGTTAAATGTCTAGTTTGGTGAGGGGCCTGTCATCCGACAGCCCTCGGGGGGTGGACTACAATCTAGAAGGAAGGGGAAGGAGGGGTAAACGAAGAGAAATGGTGGAGCCGAGGAGGCAGGCATTGTTGTGGTAGATTCTGGCTGCCTTCAACAGCTATGCTCCTGTAGGTTCGGGGGAACCTTTGGCACCGATTCCTTCTCCCACCCGCCCTGCCCCTTGTGACTACGTTGGGACATTATCTTGTGCCCAGCCCCAACCGTGACACTGCCCTTCTCTCGTGTTCTCTTCTTCTGTGTTTCTCCACCTTGTCCTTCTTCTCCTCCCTCTCCTCCAGCAGGTTCCCGAATCATGCGGCAAGAACCGCTGCCGAAATGTAGTCCATCACGACAGACGGAGGAGACGAATCGTAGACCATCGCACAAAAGGGGAACGAGAAGTTAACGAGTGGACGAGAGAGAGAGAGAGCGAGGTATGTGTATATCTATATACATAGATATATATATATATATATAGAGAGAGATGTATATACAACTAGACATACCAATGTAACCATATATATACTCCAGATTTCGTAATAAAAGGGAGGGGGTCTCAACCCTCCCAGACGAGAAGTTTTAGACCCCCCCCCCGTGGGAGAACCCTCCAAAACATCGTCCCCGGACCCCCCCAGGCCCTCCAAGATAGCCTGGAAGAGACCCCCCCCGAAATGAGACCCCCTCCTTTTACTACGAAATCTGGAGTAGAGGGCCATCGCTGTTCTCCGAAATCCCAGTTCGCAATGAGATTTCGACGGTTGGGCGACGGTTGCGGTTAGGACTTAAGCCCGAACGCGCTACGGCAAGACGTAGTAAACAGCCCTTCCTGAGCACGGAGGTCTCAAGTAGGGCGACGACGAGGAGGACGAGGGCGGCGGTTTGGAAGTCGCTGAAAGGGAGGAGAGCCCAGGAGCGTGACGGCGACGAAAACAAGAGCAGAACGGAGGGGCAGGAGTGGAATCAGCATCGGAGCCTCTGAAGATGAAAAGCCGATAAGAAAGGGGCCGCGGTGCCTCTCGCCCAGGTGTGCACCTCCCGGTGGCCGTTGGCCCATCCTGTCATCGTGCCTGGGGAGATCGCCTGGATGCCTGTTGGGGTCTTTCCGGGAGCCTCTGGGCAACTTCTTGGAGGCAGTCTCGAAATCCATTCTCTCAAAGGGGCCTCAGGGTCCTCTTGAGGGGGTTGTTCGGGTCAGGCGAAAGGGGGGGATAGCAAAGGGGGGGGGTGAGAATCAGCTCACGTAGCTGATTTTCCCGGCGCCTCCCGGCGCCGGAGGCGGCAATGTGTCGAGGAATGGGCCCCTCGGTGAGGCCGAGACCAGCTGCATGCAGCAAATTTCGCACCCCCCCCTTTTCCCAATCCCCCCCTTTCGTCCGGCCCGAGTTGTGAGGAGCCTACGGGCGGTTTCCTGGGTCCTCTCGGGCTGGAGGCCTCGAGATCTGAGGGCAGCGCGGCGGGCCCACCGTGCCCCTCGTCCACGTGTGCCCCCACTGGGTGCCGTCTGCCCCTCCCGCCGCCGTGCCTGACGGGGTCTCACAGACCGCCCCGCTCGAGCCCAGGACGGGCCACGAGGCCCAGCCGCGTCGGCAGCACGGCGGAGTTCTCGGGAGCGGCCAAGAGGGGGGTGTCCAAGAGGGGGGGTGCAAATCATGACCGGCGGCATGTGCGCGGCCCAGGGGGGGGGGCCAGGGACGTAATGAAATAAGAAGAGGCGCCATGAAATCTGGGGAAATATCATGGCCCCCGCCATGATCTCCACCCCCCCCCTTTAGTCATCACCCCCCTCTTTTCCGCCCCCGAAGTTCGGCGGGCCCCTCGCGTGGGCACTGGCGCCGGCGGTGCTGAGCGAGTGGCAGTCGTTCGACCTCGCTGCGTGGTGCTCGGGTGGCGAGGAGGAGGACTACGGGTCGGAGCCTCTGGACCCCACTGCGGTGCGCGGCACCCTTGGCTGACCGACGGGCAGCGGGACGCTGCGGGCCCCACCGTCGACGAAGAACCAGAATGGCAAGGAGACGCGGATTACTGGTCTCGAATCGGGCATAGTCCCCCTACAGGGGGACGTTGGGCCAAAAATGAAAAATACACCGGAAATACTCCGAAAATGCTCAAACATAGTCGAACAATAGTCCCCAGACTATTTTATACTATTGTTGAAGATTCCTCCTGTAGAGGGACAGGCCCGACTTAATGCTGGTCGGGCGAAGTTGACCGGGAACGTTACGCGTCGACGAATAGCCACACGGACCCGGGCCCTGCGGAGGAAAACGGAAAGGCTGAGGCTGGAGGCTGGTCGTCAGGCTGTTCGAGGCGGGCATTGTGGAGTACGTTCGGGAGGTGAGGGAGCACGTAGGGCTGTTCACGGTGGCAAAAGATATCGACCACGTCTCGGGAGAGGTGGTCACAAGCAGATTGAACTGGGACTGTCGGCGAGTGGACCTTCTCTTGAAGGATACGCCCTTGGTAGCGATGGGGAGTCCAGCGGTCTCCTTCAGCTCCTCCCGCTCCAACACATCCTTTACTTCTCCTTCTCCTTCTGTTCACACTTATCTTGCTCATCCTTCTCGTTATCCTTCTGCTCCTCTTGCTACCACTCGTCCTTCTCATCCTGCATCACCTCCTCATGTTCCTCCTGCTCCTACTCCTGCTATTGCTCCTGCTCCTGCTTCAGATTCTGCTCCGCACACTCCTCCCATCAATGCTGCTGATCCTCCTCATCCTCCTCCTACTTGTCCTCCTTCATCTCCTCCTGATTCACCCCACCCCATCAAACTCGTCGTCGTCTTGTCTTCCTCTTCTCATCGCCACTCTGGACCGCCGACGGAGAAGGGAAGCAGGGGAACCCCTTGGTGAAGTGCCCGGGCATCTTCGTCTCGACGGCCGCCATGACCTTCAGCTTCGAGCCCTCGCGGCCGTGCTTCAGGCCGAAGATGGCGAGGCGCTCCACGCCGTTTCCGTCGCGCGGAGGGCCCTGACAGGCAACAGGGGGCAGCTCCTCCCTGTCCTCCTCCTCCTCCCTCTCTGTCCTCCTGCTCCTCCTCCTCCTCCTCCTCCTCCTCCTCCTCCTCCCTGTCCTCCTGCTCCTCCTCCTCCCTGTCCTCCCTGAGGCAGGGAGCCTGCTCCTCTCTGTCCTCCTCCTCCTCCCTTTCCTGGCCCCTCGGGGGCCCCTTCTCTCCTCGCCGCGTGGGGCACAGCGCGGGAACGCGGGAGGCAGAGGGATGCGGGGGGTGGGACGGAGGAGGAGGGGAAGAGGGAGGGGGTGGTTGGGAGCGGGGCAGGCTAGGGAGGCCATCAGGGGAAGGAAGTGGGAGATGAGAGAGAGAGAGAGGGAGGGAGAGGGAGAGAGGGCGAGGGAACAAAGATGAACGAACGTTCACCGAGGGCCAGTTGAGGTAGGGAGGGAGAGGAGAGAGGGGAAGGAAGAGGATGGGAGAGGGAAAGCGGAGCTGTGGAGGGCGAGTGCAGGGCGCGTGCGTTGGCTTGTGCCTGTCGTGCCGAGTTGGAAACCCCGGCTGCGAAATGCCTGCCTGATTCTCGCGAAATGCGCTGCTCGGGCCCGCGAGCCTGCAGCTGCACTCTGGTGGCAGGGCTTACGCACCCACGAGGCTGAACATCGGAGGCGAGGGGGCCAGATCGCAGTGGAGCGGAGGGCCCCGCACTGGGAGATCGGTGTCGGTCTCGTGTTCGCCTCGTGAGTGCGGGCGAGGCGGAGCTGCGTGGGCGCGCGAGAGGAAGGATGCCGCCGTGGCCAGGGGATGCGGAGCCAGTTGTCCACCCGCCCCCCCCCCAGGCGCGCGGTGGCCAGGGGTGTCCCGTCAGTGGCGCGGTGGTGTCCCGTCGGTGGCGCGGTGGTGTCCCTTCGGTGGCGCGGGGTGTCCCGTCGGTGGCGCGTCGGTGAGATCGATAGAGAGATCGATAGTGAGATCGATTGTGAGATCGATAGTGCGATCGATTATAAAAAAAGATAATGAGATCAGTTGTGAGCTCGATCGTGAGATCCTCTGTGAGATCGGTAGTGGGAAATGGTGTGAGATCAATGATGAGACCGCGCGTGAGAACTATAGTGGGATCGTCATTGAGACCGATACTGAGATCGATAGTGAGATCGATTGTGAGATCGATCGTGAGACCCAAAGTGAGATCGATGGTGAGATCGTTTGTGAGATCGATAGTGGGTCCGACTGGGGGATCGATATAAAGATGGACAGTGAGATTCATAGTGGGGGATCGATAGTGGGATCTGTTGTGAGATCGACCGTGAGACTTCTTGTGATATCGATAATGGAATATGTTGTGAGATCGATGATGAGATCGCTAGTAAGAGCGGCAATGAATTCGACTATGAAATCGATCGTGAAATCGGTAGTGAGACCGACCGTGAGAACCGGTGGGGGATCGATCAGAAGTCCGATGGTGAGGTCGAAGGTGAGACCTGTTGTGATATCGATACTGAGATCGCCAGTTAGATCAGTAGTGTTTTCGATTGTCGAATCGATAGGAATATCGATTGTACGATCGGTAGTGAGATCTGCTGTGAGATCGATGGTGAGATGGACAGTGAGATCTGTTGTGAGATCGGGAAATTGAACGATGTGAGGTCGATTGGAGGATACGTCGGTTCCCCCTCACCCCACATCACCCGAAGGGTGGTCGTATAGGCATTCGCTGCGGGCATGGAAAGCATAAACTCCTTTTGGGGCTACAGGCTGCTACGGGCACACCATTACGTCGCAAATTACTCTTCTTCGCCTTTATCCTGCTATGTCTCCTCGCTTGCTCCTGCTGCTGATCCTTGGTCTCGTTCTCCCATTTCCCCTTTTCCCCCTCCCCCCCACATGATCGTCCTGCCCCCTCCTCCTCCTCCTACTCCTCCTCCTCTTCCTCCCCATTTCACCATCTCACCCTCTCTCTCTCTCTATCTCCTGCTCTTTCCCTATTTCGTCGAAGAAGTCATGGGCGTCCACCACTCCTTCGCTCTCCTCCTCTCCAGTCGTCGTCGCGTCCTCATCGTCCTTCCGAGCCGTCACCGGCACAGCCAAGACTCACCATCACCACCATCGTCATGAGCCTCTTCCTTCTCGCGACCACTCTCCTCCTCATCCTCCACCCCCTCTTTGGCGGCGCGCACGAGGGGGCGGAGGTAGGGGGGGGGAGGGCTTCTCAGAAGGAGCCTGCTCCCCAGAAGGCGCCGGCCCTGCATCTGCAGACAAGGCCCGCGCCCTCCCTAGAAGCAGGGGGGCGCTTCTGAGAAGCCCTCCACCCTCCCCCCCTCTGCGCGTGGAGGAGGAGGAGAGAGGAGGAGGAGGAGGAGGAGGAGGAGGAAGGAGGGGGAGGAGGAGGTGGAGGAGGAGGAGGAGGAGGAGGAGGAGGAGGAGGAGGAGGAGGAGAGGAGGAGGAGGAGGAGGAGGAGGAGGAGGAGGAGCTCGGCAACGGCTAGAAAGGTGCCACCACATTAAACGTGCATCAAACAAACTCCAAACGAGTTAGGGGGGGTCAAAAACCTCCCCGGGCGGCGCAACCTGCCGGCGGCGCTCTTGCGCTCGAAGCCCGAGCGACTCCGCCTCTTCCCGAGAGCGGAGCCCCAAAAGGGAGAGGCCTCGCAGAAGGTCGACCCCAGTCCCCGCCCAAGCACACCCACCCCCGCCCGACATGGACGCAAGAGAGCCTCTGGACAGAGGCGGCGCTAGCTGCGGGAGGTCGTCCAGACCCATCTTGGCTGCCAGGTAAGTCTCGAGAGGGATCCGATAACACGGCCGCTTGCGAGACCCGAAACCCTAGCTTCGAAGGATGGCGGCCACGCAATATCCAATCCAACTGCCTCTCACGACCCGAGGATCGTTGGCCCAGACAATCTGACGCTAGAGCCGTTTTTCCCCCGTGCCCTCCTACGGCACAAACCGAACCGCAGCGAGTACAGAAGGCCAGGGGGCCAGCCGCTGCCCCCGAGGGGTCCGTGACCCCACACTCAATGATGTGGTGGGCGCGGCCTGGCCAGACATGGAGGTCGGGCCATTCGGCCCTGCCCTCCTTTTCTTCTCCACCCACCCTCCCCGACTCCCGACCCGTCCCGCCACTCCCAGGAGGAGGCACAGGAGGAGGCGGTGGAGGAACCTCGTCAGGGAGAGGAGGGACCTCAAGGGTGATGTGCCTAAGCCAATCGATGCCGACATGGTCGAACTGCTGACTGTCTCCAATCCGAACCTCTTGCTCTGCCGAGAATTTACAAAGAAGACGGGCCAACTCGAAGCAACCATCGACGACGGCACGATCGGCGACAGCGATTCTACCCAAAGAGGCACCTGTCTTCGCATATTCGTCCGCAGCCTTGTTGCCGAGATACTCGAGCCGACTGAGCTTCCCATTCTCGACATCACGAAGGGTGCTATGGGCTGGCACTCTATGCCACCGCACACCGTCAAGCTTATCGTACACATGCTGCAACATATGCGATCGAGCATTATCTGGACACACAACTCCCACTGGGTCCGAAACATACCCAAGGGTCCCCGCACAGTCCTTATACAAGTTGGCCCCGGGGAAAACTGTAGCATGGCGAACCAGAGAGACCACAGCGTAGTCCTCACCGTCGCGGGCGACCTGGGCTGGAGCAGCGCTTAAGGGCACACGCCCCCAAATCGCACGAGCCACTTCCCCCCGCCCGTCCGTCACGATCACCGCCCATCCCGCCGATCGAATCCTAGGGAGAGCAGGCTCGTAGCACGAGCCGTCAAGGAACACATGCGCACCATCCCCAAGCACCAAACCTTCGGCGGGCCAATTGTGCCTGTAGACCGTGGTATCGGGGTGCTCAGAGGGGCGAGTGAACCAACAAGTGGGGTCAGGGGGCACACACCTGGCGAACAACTCCTGGGCTCTGGGTGAGAAAAGGCCCACGCTATCCTCCGCCCGACGCAAGTCCGGGCTCAACACATCTCGCCGCCACGCCTCGTGGGCAGGGCAATCGAAGCGACGATGGAACATGGTGCCCGAGGGAGCCTGGCAGACCAAACAAGCAGGAGAGATGTCCTGACAGGCGTCATGAAATCGCTGCTGGCACCAATACCGGTTGACAATCAGGCTGCGCAAGCAGTGACGACAATGATCAGACCAGACCGAGCTTTGCTTCGAAATCAAGTCGGGAGCCGGTTTGAGACAGATGGGGCCGCGCCACTCGGCGCCAAAATCACTCTGCCGAACCTGCTACTCCATCACAATAGCTTCCTCGCACGCTTCGCGCACGCGAAGGGCGAAGAAAGCTTGGGAAAACTCAGACAAACTCCAGGAGCGACCCGCCTGGTCGACCAAAACCTCATTTGGGACATCCAACCTCCAACGGATCCGAGCAAGCGTCAGTACAAGGGCAGCCAGAGGCTGCTTGGCGGAGCCCCAGGGCCTGGGTTTGCACGCAGACAGGAGCGCGTCTTCAAACGCCGAGAGGAGCACCTGCTTCGCGACACTGCGGTGCCACCAAACTGACACGAACGCCTTGACGGCGTCCACCGTCGTTGAAACGAGAGGGTCGCGCTGGGGGGGCCCGCAAAGGAGGAAGGTGAGGCAAAGGGAGGAGCCGGGCTGAAGGGTGCCAAAAGACCTGGCAGAGGCCACCCTCAGAGTCCGCAGAGCCGAATTCTCAAGACCATTATTGTGTGCACCCCACGTGGCCGTAGCGACTGGACCCGCCCTGTGGACCCGAGAAGCCCCCCTACCCCGCCCGATTTTGGCGAGCCTAGTCGCTGCGGCCGACGCGGCAGACAGGCGAGCAAGCTGCGCGGGCGCCCGACGGCCCTTGCCGTCGGAGGCGCCCCCACCGAGATCACGGTGGGTGGAGGCGAAAAGACTGCTGCAGCGACTGTCCGCCAACAGCGCGTCCGCGAGCTCCGACGTCGAACGGAGGACGCACGTCTTCAGCAAGTTCAACGGCAGGTCGAGCTTCTCCATCTCTTTGGTCACCATGTTGGCTGCCGCGACCAGCTGGCCGCACACCGTGCGGAGCGTGCCGACCGCGTGGACCTTCAGGTCGTCGACGAGATTCAGCGGCCGGACAACGGGCGCCTCCACCACGATCTGCTGTAGAACGCTCAGCGCCAGGAGCTTCACCACGCCAGTCGCGCAGCTGCAGCCCGCGATCACCGCGCCGTTGGGCAGCACCGCCCGTGGCGCGGCGCCGAGCCACCTGGCCCGCCTCGGGCCGCGGTAGATCGCGCATAGGCACCTCAGCAGCTGCAGGTCGAAGCCGAAGTGCCGGGCCGCCATCTCCAACATGCAGTGGAAGACGTTCTCGAAGAACTTGCTGACGTCGAAATACAACGTCCCAGACACGAATCCGTGGCGTTTGGCGTGCACTACGAGCAAGTTGTGGATGTAGGCTGCGCGGTCCGCCGCCGTGTCCCCGCTCTTGCCCCGAAAGAAATCGGCGTCGACCGAGCGCTCCCAGGCGCGGACCAGGCCCTGGCGAATCTTCGACCACACCCGAGGCCAGAGCTCCATCAGGCCGATGGGCCGCCTGCCCACGTCGGGAGGCGGCTTTGGGATGAAGACCATCATCGTCGTGCAAAGGTCGGGCACCTCGGCCGAGTCATCGAACTGGTTCAAGATGGCCGTGAAGCGCTCGACCAGGGGGTCTGAGAGCTCGTTGAGCAAGCGCGGGTGGAAGTTGTCCCAGTCGAGGCCCTTCCTGCGCCCGAAGGAGAGGGAGGCCGTCCGCGCCTGGTCCACGCTGATGGCCCCGAGCGCGTGCGGCACCTGCCAGCCGGCCGCGGGGGCCCCCCTCGTCCTCGACGGTTTGTCCCACAAGGGCATCCACTCCAGCACGATGGCCTCCACGGCCAGCGCCCCCACCTGGGGGAGCCCGGGCGCGCCGCCAGGCAAGGATATCGGCCGCGCCTCCACGGGCTTGGTCTTGATCAGCTTGTGAGCTACACGGCCTGACCCAGCCAGCGACGCGCTGCGAAAGTCGCGCCGCAGCCGCGCCCGGGCAGCAGCATCAGCACTACGCCGCCGCGCGAGCTCGTCCTCCAGGAGGCCTTCGAACCACGGCGCGAGCGGGCTGTTCCGCTCGGCGAGGCCCAGCCACGCGTTAGGCGTGGTGGTGACGAGCGCAACGTGCTCCGAGACCGCCGGCGGCAGAGTGATGGCGCGATCCTGCAGCATCAAACCCTCCTTCACGAAGGGCCACAGAGCCTTCGAGCCACGCGGGGCCCTGCCCCAACGGAGAAGCGCCCGTCAGATTCGCAGGAAGCTCCACCAGGCCTCTGTGTCAGAGGAGTCGCGGCGTCGTTGCCGGCGCTCTTGGACGTCGAGCAGCGGCCTCTCCACCAGGCGGATCCCGCGCCCACGGCTCCGATGATGATGGGCCTTGGAGGCCCCCACCTGCCGGGGGCGGATGAGCGACCGCTCGGCCAGGTCGAACCAGCCCGCGCGCGCCACCTGGAGGTCCGACAGCGGGGCCTGCAGCTCCGCCAGCTCACGCTGCGTCTCCTGCTCCGTGGCAGGCCGTGGCCCAGCAGCCTCGCCAGCGTCCGTCGCGGGGCTCACCTCCGGCTTCTTGGCCACCGAGAATGGCCACCTGGGGTTCTCGACCCAGACCTTCGGCTTGCTCCAAACACGGTCGAGGGAGCAGCTGACCTGGTCGCGAGACCTCGCCGGCGCACCAGCAAACGCCCGCGCCGCCGACGCGCAGGAAGACAGGGACCTCGATACCACGAAGTAGTCGTAGTCGTTGTCACCGCAAGTCGGGACGCCACTGCTGATGAGGAGGCCATCGATCTCGTCGAGCCAACCGCTGGAGGCGAGGTCGTCCGCGTCGACGTTCCAGTCCCCTGCCGAGAGGAATGGGACGTGGTGCTGCCCCACAAGCGCAGCGACCTCCGCCAGGAGCGTGATGTTGTCGCCCGTCAGCCCGATCGACGTGATCAGGTACACGGAGGGGCACAGGAAAACCTAACCCTCGCCGAGGTGGATCTTCCTCGCCACGATGAGGTGCGCCCACTCCGAGGGAACGTCGATGCCCGCGCACACGCCGACGTGGGCCGCGAAGCACAAGCCGACGCCCCCGCTGACCGCCAGGCGCTCCGTCCCGACCCGAAGCGGCGGACCCAGGGCCAGATGGCAGCCTTGGCCAAGGCACCACTGCCGAGCCGCCCCGGATGCCTCGTCGTCGGGGAACCTGGTCTCCTGGATGAAGACGACGTCGAACTGTCGCTTGGCCGCGGCGTTCCACTCGAGCACCCTCCGAGCGCCGCTCCACGTGTCCCCACTAATGGTGAGTAGCGTCAGCGAGTCGCCTCGCACCGCCGGCGGCTGGGGGAGGAGCTGCGCCAGCTCCAGCGGCGCCGGCCGGGCGGCCGCGGCAGCGCCGGCGGGGAGCTGCCCCTGAGATTTTGGCCTGGATCGGCGTCTGCCGTCGGAGGCGCGGGGCACCCCGCAGCCCCCAGAGGCCTCTGGAAATTTTGGCTTGGATCGGCCGCGCACGCCGCCGCCGGCTGGGGGAGGAGCTGCGCCAGCTCCAGCGGCGCCGGCCCGGCGGCCGCGGCAGCGCCTGCGGAGAGCTGCCCCTGGAGATTTTGGCCTGAATCGGCGTCTGCCGTCGGAGGCGCGGGGCGCCCCGCAGCCCCCAGAGACCTCTGGAGATTTTGGCCTGGATCGGCCGCGCACGCCGACGAAGTTCCACACGCCGCCGCCCACGCCGAGGAAGACGCCCCAGTAGCTGTACACGTGGCAATCGACCTCCGCTCTGCTGGCCGCCCCGAGACTCCACTGATGTCGGGCCAGGCCGCGACCAGGGGTCTCTCAGGGCCGGTGAGTCTCGGAGCATGCGGTTCGCTGCGCTGCCCCTCCAGCGAGCCTTCGCCTAGCGAGGGCTCAGCGTTCTCAAGGGACGAGCGTACGTCACCTGTAGACAAAGCAATCGGCCTCGAGGCACTCGAAGCCGCCGTACTTGTGCCAACACCCTCTTCGAGGGTCCTCTTGACCCGAGGGGCGGCGTCATCCATGGCCTATCTCTGGCCGTCGGTGCTGAAGCTCAACTCTGGTCGGGCTAACGGCACGGGGAAGTCCAGGTCGGGCCAGTCGAGGTCGATGATATTCTGCTGCCAGAAGAGGAGGTCCAGCGGTACGGAAGGGCTACCCCAGCTTGGGCCGCTTTGCCAGGGAGCCGAGGCTTTCCAACAACCGCTTGTACTTGTCAGGGTCCGTGCTGCTTTCGAAGCCTGCGGTGGCAAAGGCCTCTCTGACCTGCTCGTCACCAGGATCGAACTCTGGTTGAACAGGAGTTCCTGGTGCAGGGCCTCCTGGAGGGGGGCCGCCAGAGCCGCCAGGAGCACCAGGAGGGGCAGCCCGAGCCCCAGCAGCACCGCCTGCGTCCGTCTCCATGGGCTTGGGGATTTTCGCAGTGAGCTCCGCGCGCTTGGCCGCAGCTTGCTCCAGCTGGAAGCCGAACCTGGAGCCGTATTTGCGCAAGCACTGCTCCATGATGTCCAGCATGGCGATCTCCTGGTTGGGGTCTGCCTCAGCTCCGTCGGCTGGGGCCTCGGGCAGGACGCTGGTCCGCTGCGCAGCCTTGATGTGGTTCTCCAGCTCAGCCAAGCCCTCCTTATGCTTGTCCAGCTGCGCGCGCTCCTCCTCATAGGCCAAGCGGGCCTGCTCCAGGGCGTGTTTGGCCGCCTCCACCCGCTGGGCGGAACTCTCGATCTGCTTGTTTGTTTCCTGCTTGCGCTGCAGCAGGTCTTGAAGGCTCTTAGAGGCCAAGTCAGCAGGCTTGACCACTTCAGACTGCTTGAGCGCCGTCTCGACGTCAGTGGCGAGCTGGCTGCCCTTGGCCACACCCTTCGCCTGCAACAGCTCCACCAGCTGCGTGACAGTGAGCGCGCGGGGGTCTGGGGCCTTGGCCCCTCCCCCTCCACCGAGCCCCCGAGGAGGCCCTTGGAGCCAGCGGTTGGGTCCAGACTTGGACCCACCACCTCCTCCTTGCTGCTGCTGCCTCGCTTGCAAGATGTGCGTTGGCGCTCGCGATCCACACTCACGGCACGTCGTCCTGAAGTGGAGGAGGAGGAGGAGGAGAGGGAGGAGGAGGAGGAGGAGCAGGGGGAGGAGGAGAGGGAGGAGCAGGGGGAGGAGGAGGGGGAGGGGGAGGAGGAGGAGGAGGAGGGGGGGGAGGAGGAGGAGGGGAGGAGGAGGAGGAGGAGGAGGGAGGAGGAGGAGGGAGGAGGAGGAGGGAGGAGCCTGGAAGTCGCAGAAGAACATGAGCGTCCCCCACTCCTCCTCGCACGCCCGCAGGAAGCTGCCCTGGGCGCCCGTCACGAAACCGACGCAGCTGGTGGGGACCTCGGCAGCCCGAGCCTGTGCCCAAAAGGGGCCCTCTCGCCCGCTCTCGTCTGCGTTCCCCTGCTTCCCCCTCGTCGTCCATCCACTCTGCAGGGTCGTTTCTAATGCTCGGGATTGTTAAAGATACAGGATTCTCAAGAAGAAGAAGAATAATAAGAAGAAGAAGAAGAAGAAAGCCGTGCACGTCAGAGGTGCATTGGCCATGTGGCGAACATGTGAAACAGATTGTGCAAATTGGGCTGCCAGCCGCACAGATGATGTAAGACAGAAACAAGCACATGAACTCATCGTTGCTGTTGATACTAAATCTCTGCATGTTTGATGCATGCTCCGCCCGCGGAGCACGTATCAAAATTGGCACGGTACCTGCCCTCCTCCTCAGAGCATCCCTCGGTCACGGCGCGCCCTCCCTCCCTCTCGCTTCTCTCCGCCTCCTGCCCTCGTCGTCTTGCAGCTGGCCGTGGCCCTCCTTCGCCCTCCCACCTCCCCTGATGCTCCTCCCAATCCTCCTTCCCACGCGGCGCCTGCTGCTCATGCTGTTCCAAAAACGCTTCACCTGCTTCCCCCTGCTGCTCCCGCTGCTCCTACTGTGCACTCCGCCGCGGCTGCTGTTTCCTCTCATGCTCATATCGCTGTCACCGATATTGCTGATCCGTCTCATGATTCCTCCTTCCCATGCCCCTCCCCCACGTACCAGTGTCTGTCATCACTGTTTCCCGATCCGCTGACCTCCGCGTTTCGGGATCCAGATCCTGAGCACCGTGGTCATCGTTCTCGTCGACGCCGTCCTTGACAGGCACGGGAGGGACTCTCCATGACTACGGCTGGAGTCCGCGGCTCAAGGCCAAGGGGGGATCCCCCAAGAGGAGGTGGCAGATCTTGAGCGGATCTTGGTCGTACGACGCAGACCTGCAGCGGAGGGCATGCTGATGGCAATGGCGGGGGAAATGCTGGCCGTGGGGTCGGGGAGGACATCGACCCGGCACAGGCCGGAGGCGGGGTATCTCGCATGTGCGTCCGCGGAGCGATCCAAGGATCGCTGAGCTGGTGGCGTCAATCATCGTCAGGTCGCCATCGTCCTGCGACTCGTCCACGCGTACAGGACCGACTCGCTGTGCCTCCACGGCGCGGTAAACGCGCGGTGGGCAATTAGAACGTGGTGGCGACTCCCATCCCGTAATTTGGCTACGTCGGCTCTGACGTCGGCTTGCTGGAAAGGTCCCTTCAAGGCCAACCGCAAAATCCCTGTCGCAACTCCCCCTAGGAGCAAAACATCTGCGGAACTAAGAAAGTTGCTTCAACAGTTGATGCACTATTCGGATGCCTGGATGTTCGAAACTGGCTGATTCGCCCTCCTACCCCTGAACTGGGATGATGAGCCGCAGCAGGCCCAGGAGGAACAGGAGGAACAGGAGAAAGGAAACAAATGGGCGGAGATGCGGGGAAGTGAAGAGGGTATGGAACCCGTGCAGCTCACTGGCATGGAAAATGCGCTCGGGGTAGACCCTGACATCCGAAGTCATGAAGAGGTCATGAAGCACGTCGAAATCGGCCAGTGTGGTCGACACTGATGCTCCAGCGCGAGGGCGCCCCTTGGGGGGTTCGCGGACCAACTTGCCTGGGGCCGAAGAGCGGTCAAGCTCGGGCGGACGCTCCTGTCACAAAGAGCGGAACCAAGCATTGCCAAGTTTCATTATGCTGGCCCCATGGTGGCCAAAATATTTGTTTTTATGCAAGCAACCCCAGAGCCACTACCGCGTCAAGGATGAATCGCCGAACGGCGCTGGGCATTCAAAGTGATCAGGCTGAACGTACTGGCGACTGTCATGGACGAGGCGTTGCACACCGCTGGCAGCACAGGGAAGAGGAAGCGAGAGGAATGGCCCCCACATGCTGCCAGAACTGCCCGAGATGGCACAACATGATGACAAGATAGACTTCCTCGGGTGCTCCTGGAGAAGGCCGCAGCCATCGAGAAAAAACACGCGCTCATTGCTGTGCTTGGCATCCTCGCCTCCGCAGCCTTCTCGGGCCCCGAGGTGGCCCCCAGAAGGCCTCAACAGAGCCCTAAGATGATCCCCAACGCGGCCTCCATAGGGCAGCCGGAGAGCCCCAAGGGGGCCCAAGAGCCTCCAAGAGCGCGGGCCACTGGGCCCCATGCCCTAGGATGGCTCCAAGATGACCCCAAAAGGCCCAATGTGGTGCGACGGTGGCATCAGGCGTCCAAAGACATCCCAAGGCAACCCAAGGAAGTGCAAAGACACTTCAAGATGGGCGAGCATGCGCTTCTCGGAGGCCCGCAGGAAGATCGGAGCATTCGAGAACACCTTGTTTGTTGTTGCTGTTATTGGCATTATCGATCTGGCGGGCTCCGGCGGCCTGCTCGGGCCCCGAGACCACCAACCCAAAAAGCGCCCGCCGTAGAGCGGCACCACGAGAGCCACAAGAGGCCCCCAAAGCGGCCGCAGAGAGCGGGCCAGCAGATGTCAAACAACAGTTGGACCCTGAGGTAGGCCCCAAACCCCCCCAATATGGCACTGGCCCACAACTCAGAATTTCGCACCAACTCCTCCGACCCTGTCGGCGTGTGTGAGGAGGAGTTCTGGTTTTCTCGTCATCGGCTCCCCCCCGTGGGCGATTTCTTGGACGCGCCCAGCTCATCACCCGATGTGGCGCACCAAGCTCGTCAAATCGAAGTGAATGGAACCAATCGGAATCGAAGTCGTAATTCAGTGTCGAAGGGGAGCCCCCTTTTTGATCCCTTCCGCGCTCGGGGGGCGGGGAGCGTTCCGGGGAGTTCCTGGGGGGGGGAACCCCGGGGGGGTCCCTAGGGGGGTCCCAGGGGGGGGGGGGGGGGCGCTCCGGGGGACAGAATTCGAATATGGGCTCGACTAGAGAATGGATTTAATTACCCTAGAATTTGTTTTCTCATCGAATTCCCCCCAACAGGCACGTATAATGTTCGTAGATCTACGGAACTTCTACGACATGTTCGTATATTCGGCGAACAAACCAAGTGGCGTAAATCGATTCTGCGGTCGATCCCCTACTCGGAGAATGCGATCCCACCCATTCCCTTTTCTGGCCGCCTTCGATCAAATTTGGCACTCCGTCGACAGATCAGGTCCAAGATGCCCCAAACTGGGCCTAAGAGGGCGCCGAGACGCCGAAATATTGTTCCAGGGCGCCCAGGATGGCCTCCAGCGCCCCCAAGACACTCCCATAGGCCTCCAAGAGCACTCATAAGAGGGCCCCAGGAGGCAAAATGTATTGAATGTCTGTTGGTTTGGGACGGATTTTAGCGATTCTGCCTTTTCGGTTGCCCGACGATCCAAAACGGCCAAAGAGGCTCAAAAGATGGCCGAAAGACGGCTTACGAGGCCGTCAAAAGGCCGCCCGAACTGCCCAAAAGGCCCCCAAGAGCCCCAGAAGGCGAACAGGAACCGACACGTCAAACTCACCGCCCCAAGAGGCTCCCAAGAGGCTCCCACGAGGGCCCCAAGATGCCCCAAGAGGCCCACAAGAGGCCCCCAGGAAGCCGCAAGACGCTCCTAAGAGGCTTCCAAAAGGCTCCCAAGGGGCCTCCGAACTGCCTGCAAGAGGCCCCCGACAGCCATCCGAAGAGATCCCACGCAAGAAGCATCCGTGAGGCTTCTGACCCACAGCCCAGTCACGAGGGACTGGCGTGCCAGATCCTGCGGCTTGATCTTGGTTTCCAGAAAGGAACTCCCCCTGGGGCCCCGCCGCTGCGCAACCGACGTCTCCAAGACGTCCTCGATGGCCTCCAAGACTAGGGGAACAATAAATGGCATAAACACAAAAACTCGGAGGTCCGCGCTGATTTCTCGGATCCGCGCTGGACCCCCCTCCATGGCGCGCGGAGCGCGCCAGGGGCGGCGCCGGAGGCGCCGCCAGGGGGTCCAGCGCCGATCCGAGAAATCTGCGCGGACCTCCGAGTGTTTATGTTTATGTCACTTCTTTTTCTTTTCTTTTTTTGTTTTCTCGCCGCCGCCGCCGCCGAGCTGGCGGAGGATGGAACGCAATGAGGACATGCCCCCATCATTCCACGCGCGCCCATTCGACAGGGGGCGCCTCTTCTGGCGCCAGCGAAAAACGTAAGGAGAAACGGGGGGGGAGGGAGGGAGGAGGCAGGAGGGGGAGTCGGAGGGAGAGGGAGGGAGAGGAGGAGCGCCGAGCTTCTGCCCCCCCAGCTGCGAGGGCCGAATTCAACTTTGAGTGGAGGTCGTGCCGGTTGGAAACGTCGGGCACGATCCATCAAAACGAAATAGCGAATTCCCGTAAGTACGGGAAGCTGGACGGTGTCAGAGATTAGAGAGGAGTCCGACCTGCACCCCAAAACCTTGAGCCTCCGAGCCCGCGGGGCGCGCGCCGACAACGCGCTCCCCGACCGTCGGCTCGAGGAGGGACAAGATGAGGCACACTGAGCATCGTTTAGACATCCCTATCCCCATGCTCCTCCCCCTCCACTTCCTCCACCTCCTCGTCTTCCTCTCCCTCTCCCTCTCCCTCTCTCTATATATGTATCTATATACACACAATATTGAATTGGCGCTTCGCGCCATGCGCCTTGTTCCGGACGCTTCCCTGGCAAAGCAGTACATCATCGCTTGCTTCAGCACCGCTCCTCATGGGAGGAGGTGAGGAGAACAAAAATCGCCTGGATGTTCATCTGCCACCTCCAAAGTTTATCCCTGCCCATCCCCCTCCACCTCCTCTCTGTAGACCCTCCGGGGGAACCAATGAGCGAGCACGAGTGCGGGCTGGCCAGCAAGGACCCCCTTTGAGGTGCCTCGTCCTACCTCCTGCGTCGGCCGCGCTCAGGCCCACGCTGCAGCAAGGACGTACACCATGGCCGAGATGACGGACACGACGTCGCGATTCGCGAAACTGACGTCAGTAACGACGTAGTCCCCGCACGTGAAGCCGTTGGTTGGCGCCGGGGTCGGTGCGTAGGTCGGAGGCATCGGCGTCGGCGCGTAGGTCGGAGGCGCCAGCGTCGGCGCGGCCGTCGGCATCGGCGTCGGCGCGTAAGTCGGAGGCACTGGCGTCGGCGCGTAGGTCGGAGGCATCGGCGTCGGCGCGGCCGTGGGCGCCGCCGTGGGCGCGGCCGTCGGCGCAGCCGTCGGCGCGGCCGTCGGCGCGTAGGTCGGGGGCATCGGCGTCGGCGCGGCCGTGGGCGCCGCCGTGGGCGCGGCCGTCGGCGCAGCCGTCGGCGCGGCCGTCGGCGCGTAGGTCGGGGGCATCGGCGTCGGCGCGGCCGTCGGCGCGGCCGTCGGCGCCGCCGTCGGCGCCGCCGTCGGCGCGGCCGTCGGCGCGGCCGTCGGAGGCACCGGCGTCGGCGCGGCCGAGGGCGCCGCCGTCGGCGCGGCCGTCGGCGCGGCCGTCGGCGCGGCCGTCGGCGCGGAAGTCGGAGGCATCGGCGTCGGTGCGGCCGTCGGGGGCGCCGGCGTCGGCGCGGCCGTCGGCGCCGCCGTTCCATCCATGCAACACACATCCTGAGTGCAGTCGGACTGAGACGCACCGCATACAGCACTTGCCTGGAGCAGCAAGTCACCGCAAGGATAATCGGCTGCGGCCGTCGAAACGAGGGCCATGAAGACAGCGACGCGATTGATCAAAGCCATTGCACGGCGCACGATTTTATCAAGTGCACAATACCTTCGCCGGAATGTCTTGGGCAACAAGCTTGCGCCAAAACGACTTGAGCCAAAATGGCTACGGATTTATGTTTATGTCACTTCTTGTTCCCCCCAAGACGGCCAAGCTGGCCTCCGAGTTCGCCCAAGATGCTCCAAGGATGGCCCACGAGACGGCCCAAGAGAGGGTCCCAGAAGCCTCCAAGCCCGCCCCAAGTGACCACCCAGGCAGCGCAGGACGGCTCCACGTGGCCCCCGAGAGGCCCAACAGAGGCCTCCGAGAATGCCCACGTGGCCTCCACGGGGTCCCTCCAGAAGGGATCGAGGATGCTAAAACCACTGGTTGCCGCTGGCTGTATGACAGATGCTGGCAGCTGCTGCCTTTCGGCCTTCCGACAGCCCAA